AGAAAAAGGGGAAAAAAAGAAAAAAAAAAAAAAAGAAAAGAAAAAAAAAAAAAAAAAAAAAAAAAAGAAAAAAAAAAAAAAGAAAAAAAAAGAAAAAAGAAAAGAAAAAAAAAAAAGAAAAAAAGAAGAAAAAAAAAAAAGAAAAAAAAAAGAAAAAAAAAGAAAAAAAAAAAAGAAAAAAAGAAAAAAAAAAAAAAAAAAAAAAAAAAGAAAAGAAAAGAAAAAAGAAAAAACAAAAAAAAAAAAAAAAAAAAAAAAAAAAAAAAAAAAAAAAATAAGAAAAAAAAAAGAAAAAAGAAAAAAAAACAAAAAAGAAAAAAAAAAAAGAAAAAAAAAAAAAGAAAAAAAAAAAAAAAAAAAAAAAGAAAGAAAAAAAGAAAAAGAAAAAAAAAAAAAAAAAAAAAAAAAAAAAAAAAAAAAAAAAGAAAAAAAAGAAGGGGAAAAAAAAAAAAAAGAAAAAGGAAAAGAAAGAAAGAAAGGGGGGGGGAGGGGAGAGAAAAGAAAAGAGAGGGAAAAAAAAGGGGGGGGGAGAAAAAAGGAAAAAAAGAAAGAAAAGAAAGAAGAAAAAAAAAGAAAAAGGGGAAAAGAGAAAAGGAAAGGGGAAAAAAAAAAAAAAAAAAAAGAAAAAGGAAAAAAGGGGGGGAGAAAAAAAGAAAAAAAAAAGAAAAAAAAAAAGGAAAAAAAAAAAAGAAAGAGAGGAAGAAAAAGAAAAAAAAGAAGGAAAAGAAAGGGGGGGGAAAAAAAAGGAAAAAAGAAAAGAAGAAGAAAAAGGAAAAAAAGAAAAAGAAAAAAGAAAGAGGAAGAAGGAGAAAGAAGGAAGGAAGGAAGGGGGGAAGAAAAAGAAAGAAAAAGGAAAAGGAAAAAAAGGGAAAAAGGGGGAAAAAAAGGGGGGAAAAGGGGGAAAAAAGGAGAAAAAGAAAAAAAGGGAAAAAAAGGGGGGAGAGGGAAAAAAAAAGGAAAGAAAGAAAAAGAGAGAAAAAAAAAGGAAGAAGAAAAGAAAGGGAGGGAAAAAAAGGGGGGGGGAAAAGAAAAAAGAAAGAAAAAAGAGAGAAAAAGAGAAAAAAAAAAAAAGAAAAGAAAGAAGAAGGGAAAAAAAAAAGAGAGAGAAGAGGAAAAAGGAAAGAGAAGAAAAAAAGAAAGAGAAAAAAAAAAGAAAAAGAAAAAAAAAAAAGAGGGAAAAGAAAGGAGAGAAAAGGGGAGAAAAGGGGGGAAAAAGGGGAAAGAAAAGAAAAGAAAAAAAGAGAAGGAAAAAGAAGAGAAAAGAAGAAAAAAGAAAAGAAGGGGGGGAAAAAAAGAAAAGAAGGAAAAAAAGAAAAGGAGGGGGAAAGAAAGAAGAAAAAAAAAAAGAAGGGAAAGAAAGAAAAAAAAGGGAAAAAAAGGGGGGGGAAAAAAAAAGGAGAAGAAAGAAAAAAGGAGGGAAAAGAGGGAAAAAAGGGGAGGAGGAAAAAAGGGAAAAAAAAAAAGAGAGGAAAGAAAAGAAAAAGAGGAGAAAAAAGAAAAAGAAAAAGAGAGGAAAAAAAAAAGAAAAAAAGGGGGAAGAAAGAGAAAGAGGGGGAAAAAAAAAGGGGGAAGAAAAAAAAGGAAGAGAGAAAAAAAAGAGGAAGGAAAAAGAGGAGAAAGGAAAGGAAAAGGAAAAGAAAAGGGGAAAAGGGGGAAAAGAAGGAAAGGGGAAAAAAGAAAAAAGGGAAAAGGAAAAGGGGAAAAAAGGGAGAAAAAGAAAAAGGAAGGGGAAAGAGAAAAAAGAAAAAAAAGGGGGGAAAAAAGAAAAAAGAGAGAAAAAAAAGGGGAAAAGAAGAAAAAAAGGAAAAAAAGAAAAGGGGGGAAAAAAGAAAAAGGGAGAAAAAAAGAAAAAAAAAAAGGAAAAAAGAAGAAGGGGAAAAAAAGGAAAAAAGGAGAAGAAGGGGGAAAAAGGAGAAAAGAAGGGGAGAAAAAAAAGAAAGGGGAAAGAAAGGGGAAAAAAAGGAAGAAAAGGAAAAAGAAGGGGAAGAGGAAAAAAAAAAGAGAAAAAGAAAGGGGGGGGAAAAAAGAGAAAGGGGAGAAAAGGGGGAAAAGGGGAAAAGAAAAAAAGAGAAAGGGGAAAAAGAAAGGAAAAAAGAAAAAAAGAGGGAAAAAAAAAAAAAGAGAAGAGAAGAGAAGAGAGAGAGAGAGAAAGAGACAGAGAGAGAGAGAAGAAGAGAGAGAAAGAAGAGACGTTAGAGAGGCGAGAAGATAGAGAGACGCGAGAGAAGAGAGAGAGAGAGAGAGAAGAGTAAGAAAGAGAAGAGAGAAGAGAGGAGAGAGAAGAGAGAGAAGGAGAGAAGAGAAGAAGATAGATAGAAAGAGAGAAGAGAGAAGAAGCAGAGAGAGACGAGAAGAGAGATAGAGAGAGAAGAAAAGAGAGATGAAGAGAGAAGAGAGAAGGGAGAGAAGAGTAAGAGAGAGAGAAGAGAGTAAGCAGATAAGGAGAGTAGAGCAAGAAGACAGAGAAGAGCGAGAAGAGAGCGAGAGAGAAGACGAGGTAAGAGAAGAGAAGAGCAGCGAGCGAAGAGAGAAACAGAGAGAGAGAGATGAGCAGAAGAAGAGAAGAGAGAGAGGAGAGATGAGAGAGAGAGAAGAGAGAGAAGAGCGAGCGAGAGCGAGAGAAGAAGAGAGAGAGAGAAGAAGAGAGAGAGCGAGAAGCGAGAAGAGAATAGAGAAGAAGTAGAGAGAAGGAGCAGAGAGGAGTGAAGAGAGAGAGAGAGAACGAGAAGTAGAAGAGAGGAGAGAGAAGAGGGAGAGAGAGAAGAGAGAGAAGAGAGAGAGGAGAAAGAGGAGCAGAGTAGAGAGAGACGAAGGAGAAGAGCGAGAGAGATGAAAAGAGAGAGCCAGAGATAGAGACGAAGAGAGAGAAGAGCAAGAGAGAGAAGAGAAAAGAGAGAGAGAAGAGAGAGAGAGAAGAGATAGGGATAGAGAAGGAAGATGAGAGAAGCGAGAGAGAGATAGAGGAGAGAGAAGAAGAGAAGACGAGAGAAAGAGAAAGGAGAGAAGAGAAGAGAAAGAAGAGAAGAGCAGAGAAGAGAAGAGAGAGAAAGAGAGAGAGAGAGAGAGAGAAGAAGAGAAGAGAAGAGAGAAGAGAAAGAAAGAGAGAGCAGAGAGAGTCAGAAGAGAGAGATAGAGAAGCGAGATAGAAAAGAGAGAAGAAGAGAGAAAGAGGAAGAGAAGTAGAAAGGGAGAGAAGAAGAGAGAAAAGAGAAGAGAGAGAGAGAAGAAGAGAGAGAAGATAGGAGAGAAGAGTAGAGCGCGGAGAGCCGGAAGAGCTAAAACGAGTAGAGCGAGAGATGAGAAGAAGAGAAGAGAGACGAAGGAAGAGAGAGATAAAGAAGAGAGAGAAAATGAGAGAGAGAGAAGCGAGAAGACAGAGTGCGGAGAGAGAGATAGAAGAGAAGAGAGCAGAGAGAGAGAAGAGAGAAGAGAAGAAAGCCGAAGAAGAAGAAAAGAGAGATAGAGACGATTAGAATAGAAGAGAGAAAGAGAGTATAGAGAGAGAAGAGAGAGAGACGGGAGAGAGAAGAGTAGAAGAGAAGAGAGAGAGCAGAAGGAGCCCGAGAGAGAGAGAGAAGAGAGAGAAATCTGAGATCGAAGAAGTAGAAGTAGAAGAGAGAGAGAGGAAGCAAGAAGAGAGAAGCAAGAGAGATAGAGAGAGAAGAAGGAACGAGAGAGAGAGCGAGAGAAAGCGAGAGAGAGAGAGAAGAAGAAGAAGAGAGACAGAAGAAGAGAAAGAGAGAGAGAGAGAGAGAGAGAGACGAAGTAGCGAGAAGAAGAGAGAGAGAAAAGAGAGAGAAGAAGAAGCAAGTAGAGAGAGAGAGAGAAGAGCCGAAGAGAGCGAAGAAGGAGAGAGAAAGAGCAGAAGAGAAGAGAGAGAGAGAGGAAGTAGAGAGAGAGAGGAAGAGGAGATGAAGAACGAGTAGAGAAGAGAAGAGAAGAAGAATAAGAGATAGAGAAGAGAGAGAAAGAGATACGAAGCAGAGAAAAGAAGAGAGAAGAAAGGAAGAGCGAAGAGAGGAGCGTCAGAAGAAAGAGAAGAGAGAGAGAGAGAGAAAGAGAGAGCAGGAGAGCAGAGAAGAGAAAGAGAGTAGAGAGAAGAGAGCAGAAGAAGAGAGAGAGAAGAGAGAGAGAAGAGAGAGAGAGAGAGAGAGAGAGAGAGAAGAGACAGAGAGCTAAGAAGAGAGTAGAAGCAGAACAGAGAGAATAGAGAAGAGCAAGAAGAAGAGAGAAGAAGAGATAAGACGAGAAGAGAAGCGAGAGCGAGAAAGCAGAGAGAGAGAGAGAAGAAGAAGAGACAGTCAAGAGAGAGAGAGATCGGGAAGAAGAAGAAGAGAGAAAGAGAGAGAGAAGAGATAGAATACGAGAAGGGAGAGAGAGAGAGAGAGAAGAAGAGGAAGAGAGAGAAGAGAGAGAGAGAGAAGGAAGAGAGAGCGCAGAAGAGAAAGAGAGAGAAGAAGATAGAGAAGAGAAGAGAAAGAGAAGATGAGAAGAGAGAGCGAAAGACCGAGAGAGCAAGATAGAAGAAGATAGAGAAGAGAAGAGTAAGAGAAGAAGAGAGAGAGGGAGAGAGCGAGAAGAGAGACGAAGATGAAGAGATGAGAGAAGAGTAGAGATCGAGAAGACGAGAGAAGAAGAAAGAAGAGAGAGAGCTAGCGAGAAGAAGATAGAAGAGAAGGGGCAAGAGAGAAGAGAAGAAGAGAAGAGTAGAGAGAAGAGAAGAGGAAGGAAAGCGCAGAGAGGAAGAGAGATAGAAGAAGTAAAGAAGACGAGAAAGAAGAACGGGAAGAAGAGAAGAGCAAGAGATGAGATCAAGAGGAACGAAGAGAAGAGAGAGAAAGACAGAAGAGACTAGAGAAGAGAAAGAGAAGAAGAGAAGAAGAAGAAGAAGACGGAAGAAGAGAAGAGAAGAAGCGAGAGAGAGAGAGAGAGAGAGAGGAGAAGAAGAGAGAGAAGAAGACGAGCTAGAGAGATAGCAGAAAAGAGAAGAAGAGATAGAAGACGAAGAGAGAGAGAGAGAGAGAGAAGAGAGAGAGAGAGAAGAAGAAGAAGGAGAGAGAGAAAGAAGAAGAGAATAAGAGCGCAGAGAGATGAAGAGAAGAAGAAGAGATAGAATAAAGAAGAGAGAGAGCGAGGAGAGAAGAGAGAGAAGAAGAGAGAGAAGAAGAAGATAGAGTAGATAGAGAGAGTAGAGAAGTAGAGCGCGAGCAGAGAAAGAGATAAGAGAAGAAGAAGCAGAGAGGAGAGGAGAGAAGAGCGAAGAGCAGTAGAAGAAGAGAGAGCGAGAAGAGAGAGAAGAAGAGAGATAAAGAAGAAGGAAGCAAGAGATAGAGAGAGAAGCAGGAGTAGAGCGAGAGCTAGAGAAGAAGAGCAGAGCGAAGAGAAAGAGAGAAGAAAGACGAGAAGAAAGAGAGAGAGAGAAGAGAGAAGCAAGAGAGGAGAGAGAGAAGAGAGAGAGAGAAGAAGAAGAGAGAGAGAACGACGAGAAGAGAAAGAGACGAGCAGAAGAGAGAGAGAGAGAAGAAGGAGAGCTAGAAGTAGAGAGATAAGAAAGAGAGAGAGAAGAGAGAGAGGCGAGAGAGAGCAGCGAAGAGAAAGGAGCATATAAAGAAGAAGAAGATAGAAGAGAGAAGAAGAACAAAAGAAAGAGAGAGAGAGACGAGAAGAGGAATGACAGAGAGAGAGAGAGAAGAGAAGAGAAGAGAGAGAAGAGAGAGAGAGAGAAGAAAGAAGAGACGAAGAGAGAAGAGAGAGAGAGAAGATAGAAGAAGAGAAGAAGAGATAGAGAGAGAAAAAGAAGAAGAGAGCGATCGAAGCGTAGAAGAGAGAAGAAAGTAGAGGAGGAGAGAAGTAGCGCAGAGAAGAGAGAGAGAGAGAGAGAAGGAGAAAGAGAGACGAAGATAGAGAAGTAGAGAAGGAGAGAAGAGAAGAAGAAGAGAGAGAGAAGAGAGAGAGAGAGAGAGGAGAGAAGAGAGAAGAAGAGAGAGGTAGCGAGAGAGAGAAGAAGAGAGAAGGAGAAGAGAGAGAAGAGAGAGAGAGAGAGAGAGATAAGGCGAAGAAGAAAGAGAGAGAAGAGAAGAGAGAGAAGAGAGAGAAGAGAAGAGAGCAGCGAGAGAGAGAAGCGAGAGAGAAGAGAGACAGAGATGAGAGAGGAGAAGAGAGAGAAGAAGAAGAGAAGAGAGAGAGGAGATAGAGAGAGAGAAGAAGAGAGAGAGAGAGAGGAGAGAAGATAGGCAAGAGAGAGAGAGAAGAGAGAAGAAGAGAGAGAGAGAAGAAGAGGAGCGACGAGAGAAGAGAGAGAGAGCACAGCAAGAAGAGAGAATGGGGAATGAAGATAGAAAGAAGAGAGAAGTAGAGAGAGAGAGAGGAAGAAGAGAGAGAAGAAGAAGAGAGAGAGAGAGAGAAGAGAAGAGAGAAGAGCAATAAGAAGAGAGTAGCAGACAGGAGAGAAGAGCAGAAGAAGAGGAGAGCGAAGAAGAAGAGGAGAGCGAAGAGATAAGAGAGAGAGAGAGAAGAGAATGGTCGAAGAAGAAAGAGAGAGACGAGAGAGAGAGAGAAGGAGAGAGAGAGAGAGAAGAGAAGAAGAGAGGAAGAGATAAGAAGAGAGAGAGAGATGAGACAGAAGAGAAGAGAGAGAAGAGAGCAGAGAGAGAGAAGAGAGAGAGAGAAGAAGAGGAGAGAGAAGAGAGAGAGAGAAGAAAGAGAGAGAAGGAGAGAGAGAGTAGAAGAGAGGAAGAAGTAAGAGAGAGAAGAAGAAGAGAGAGAAAGAGAGAGAAGAGAAGAGAGAGAGAGAGCAGGAGACGGAGAGAGAAGAAAGAAGAGAGAGAAGAAAGAGAGAGAACGAAGAGAGAGAGAGAAGAGAAGAGAGAGTAGAGATAGAGAGAAGCAGAAGAGCAATAAGAAGAAAAGAGAGAGAGAAGAGAGAGAGAGAAGAGATAGAAGTAAGAGAAAGAGAAGAGAAGAGATAGAAGAAGAGAGATGAGAGAGAGAGAAGAGAGAAGAAGTGAGAGAGCAGAAAGAGAAGAGAGAAGCAGAAGAGAGAGAGAAAGAGAGTAGAGAGAGTAGATGATAAGAAAGAGCAGAAGAGAGAAGGCAGAGAAGGGAAGAGGCGAAGAAGAGGAGAGAGTAAGAAGAAGAAGGGAAGAAGAGAGAGAGAGAGAGAAGAGAGAGAGAGAGAAGAAGTAGAGAGGAAGAGCAGAAGAGAGAGAGGAGAGAGAGCGAAGAAGAGAAGCGAGAGCCAGAAGGAGGAAGA